GCTCCCTGCAAAATTCCCCATCCCGTCATCCAAATTTATACAAAAAAAATAAATAATAAAAAAAATATATGGTGGAACACTGCACCATGATTAAAGAAAAATAAAATAAAATAAAATAAAATAAAACAATAAAATAATAAAAATGCATGGTGCGTCTGGCACCATATGAAAAAAAAGAATAGTGGGTGCATGATTACAAAATAAAAAAAATAAAAATAAATAAATAAATAAATAAAAAATAAATAAAAAATAATAATAATAAAAAAAAAATGATGATGGTGCATCTGGCACCATGTGACAAAAGAAAGAAAAAAAAAAAAAAGTGGTGGTGCATCTGGCACCATGAGAAACATATGAATATATATAAAGCATTTAGTAAAGCCCATCTTTTATTTATTTGTGTAAAAAAATTTTTACATAAATTCGCATTCCACATGCCATAAAAAAAAAAAAAAAAAAAAAAAAAAGACAAATCAAATTTACAAGAGGGGATTTTCAAGGTTGATCAGATGGCGCCTCAGTACTCGGCGGAACCCCAGGAGAAGGAGGCACCGAATGTTGATCATTTGAGGCTTCATTACGCAGTACAGCCCCAGAAGACGAAGGTAAATGCTGCTGGAACAAACCCACAAACCTCTGATGATCAAGTAAAATCTGACCATCAGATTCCTGCATCTGGTTAATCTTCCTCTTCATGTTTGTCGCATAGCTATGTGCGAGCTTATGCAACTGTTTATTCTCCTGCTTGAGCCCTCTAATCTCCTGTTTGAGACTCATCACTTCCGCCGCCAATGATTCAACTTGACGGGTTCGAGCAAATAGGCGTTGGGCCATATTAGACACAGAACTTGCACACTGCACACTGAGAGCCAGATAATCCTTAACAGCCAACTCATCAGACCGTTTGGAAAGTAGTCTGTTATCTCTGGGAGTGACAAGGTTTCGGGCCACCACCGCAGCGGTCATATCATTCTTCACCACCGAATCCCCAACGGTAAGAGGACCAGTAGGGGATATGAAGGATGGGCGCCATATGTTGTCTGGAGAAGGCGGGACTGCCTCTTCACCAAGGTTCAAGTCAAAACGACGGTCGGAGGGTCCAGATATTTTCAAAGTGTTGAAGAAAGAAGAGATCGGACAAATCAAGATCTTAGAAGTGCAAGAAGGGAGTTTTCACAAGCGAAAATTCAAGTGTGCTTTGAAACAAACAACGTGCCTCTATAAAAAATCAGCACTCGACGGGATTTCAGAGATCGAAGAGGCGAGCTCAGAATTCGAAGAGGCCATTCAAAAATCGAAGAGGCAAGCTCAGAAATCGGAGAAGCATCTTGCTTTTCCAGACGCGTCGGCACCCATCACACGCAAACTCAGCTTTGCGAAAATCACGGGCAATTTGTCGAAGCGCCGATCCTAGATATCGAAGAGGCGCCAGTCTTTTTCAGCCTCGTCAACACCTGTCATATGCACACTCAACTTTGCGCAAATCACGAGCAATTTGTCGAAGATTTTCGGTGAAGGAGAAAGCACGTGAAGTTTACTGTTCAATCATCCAACGGTTGCCGACAAGAGTGAAAGAACAGTACCGGTTATTAATCCATATAAATGTCCACCTTTACCCTACATAGCAAGGCAGACATACAGAACATTTCTTCATCTCCGAGAATGCCTTCCCAACAAAGCCTCTCGAGTCACCCAGTGTTCCTTATTCCTTGGGGTACCTCTGTAAGCCAATGACTCCAAAGCAAAAATATCTCATATCACCAGGGTAGAAAGCAAGAGTATCTCATATCATGTGTTCTCTCTGTCCTTTCTTTTGTCCTTGTTCTTACTTACAAAGACAAGGATAAAGAAAACAATATGCCGGAACCTCCACTCAAACTCGGGTAAGGAACCGACCGCTTGGAACCCTTCCCTGATTGCTTACCTAGCACTGCTCTCGAGTACTCATTTCCCATTGCTGCTGTACTTCCAAAGAAGCTGCCACATCTGCCTGAAGAAACAAGCAGAGAAGAATGCAGCATGCACAGTCAACTCAGCAGAAGGAGTCTGAGATGAGGAACTCGAGAAGATGCCACATCTGCCTGAGGAACAGATAAAGGAAATGAAAATAATACCTTGAAACATGTGGAGACAAGTGCAACCAAGCACGTGCTTATTCATTCGCTACTTCTTCAAAATCAAAAGTATCTCATATAATCAGGGTTGCAATCATTCTGGACGGTGAATTCGTTTTGACCCTCAAATTCTTGGGTCGACTTGCTAGGCGTTGTGGGCTGCACGTGCCGATTCACCACCCTTGAATCGAATCCTTAAAGATCAAGTCACCAACTGGAAGAAGAGCCCATCAATCTTGAAGATCATACCGTTGACCAAACTGCTCAGGTGTGAATTAGAAAGATTGAACAAAGAAACAGGCTGTCACATTTACCTCGTGCTTGCTTGCCATGTGTTCAAATCAACCTTCGAGATCAAGCCTCAAAGGCCCTTGAAGAAGCTTCCAGCCAAAGTTCAAGATCAAGCCTCAACGACCCTTGAAGAAATCACAAGTCCGATTCAAGATCAAGTGTCTACCACCCTTGAATCAAATCCAGTTCAAGAATAAGCTGTGGAAAGTCAACAATTGGAGGAAACCAGAAAATCCTCCAACCCAGTTCAAGAATAAGCTGTGGAAAGTCAACAATTGGAGGAATCCAGAAAGTCCTCCAATCCAGTTCAAGATCAAAGCTGTGGAAAGTCAACAAGTGCAACAAAATACGTGCCGATTCATCCACTACCAAAGCCAAAAATCATCTACCACATGAAGTTCCTTGTGGTCCAATTTCAACTTTCAAGATCAAGCCTCGACGGCCGTTGAAGAAATTTCAAACAAAAGTTCAAGAACAAGCCTCAACGGCCCTTGAAGAAAGCTCCAGCCCCATTCAAGATCAAGCCTCGATGGCCCTTGGATTGACATCTACATTAAGTGACTTCAAAACGCATCTCCTACACGCGACAAGCACATGTATACGACGCGTCTTGAAGTGGGGGCATTTGTAGACATCGAAATTTCGGTAAATAAATGTTGACCAATAAATCAAAGTTTCAACGCTCATATATTACATAAATTTTACACGTAGCGTGTGTCTAAACAAAAAATCGAAATAGTTGGAAAAGTCATCAAACAGGACACGTGTCAACACCTGGCAGAAACGACTTATTTCATCTGGGATATTATATTCAAAATTAGGCCTTGGAAATTTCTATAAATAGAAGGCTAATTCATTCATTTAGGGGAACCAAAATCATTAGGAAAAATTATTGAAGCTCTGAAACTCTGAAACTTCGAAGCTCTCAAGTATCCAGGTTCCCGAAGAATCAAGAAAGCTCTCTTCGATCTTCGATCTTCGTTCATCGTTCATCCTAAGATCAAGCCCCAACGGCCATTTGGATCAACAATCATCCACCTTCAAGATCAAGCCCTAACGGCCCTTGAAGAAAGTGTTCTTCGTTCTTCGTTCATCGTTCTTCCAAGATCAAGCCCCAACGGCCCTTTGGATCAACAATCTTCCACCAATTCAAGATCAAGCCCCGACGGCCCTTGAAGAAAGTGTTATTCGTTCTTCGTTCATCGTTCTTCCAAAATCAAGCCTTGACGGCCCTTGGATCAACAAGCCACCGTTCTTCAAGATCAAGCCCAAAAGCCCTTGAAGATCCGTTTATCACTGTTCTTCAAGATTAAGCCCAAAAGCCCTTGAAGATCCGTTCATCACCGTTATTCAAGATCAAGCCTTAACGGCCCTTGAAGAAACACTCATCCTCAAGATCAAGCCCCAACGGCTCCTTGAAGATCCGCTCAAATCCACCTTCAAAGATCAAGCCCACGGCCATTTGAAGAAACTTCCAACAGTTCATCCAAGATCAAGCCTCGACGGCCCTTGGATCAACAAAACATCCACAAATCAATACCTTACGGAGATCGAATCAGAGGATCAAAATAGAGAGAGATTGTAACCCTAAATCATCAAATACACAAATATTATTTTGTGCACGTTGTTCTTGTCTCTTTCGTTTCAGGAATTTTCCGTGTTCATGGAAAATGACTAGCATCCTGTAAAGTCTACCTTTTTACTGCCCAATTTGGAACTTTAACAAAAAAATTTCGGTACTATTCATTTTAATAAAAAATCACATTTTTACATTAAAAAGTCAATCCTGATATTATTCATTTTACATTTTATTTTGTCATTATCGTTAAAACTCAAAAATTTCAAGCTATTTTCATTAGTTTTCTTATAAAAATAATGTATAAAAACCAATAACATGCAAAGAATAAAAAAAAAAAAATAATGACACAATTATTCGTAAAAATGAAGAGAGTTATCATTTTATTAGTACAAGATAATTGAAAACGAAAATGATGTTTCAAATTAATGATCACAATAGGTCAAATATATTATAATTACAAATTTCGAATTGCATAATATGTTGTGCCCAAGATTGCTAAACCTAATCCATACCCAACCCAAATCAAGAAAATAAAGCTAATTTCACCCTAAAAATTAGAAAAGGTGAACAAATTGGACCTCCAAAAATCCAAAGAAGATGATAATATCATAAATGAGAGAGGATGCTCGCCGGATTCTTATTGTATATACCGTAAGAATTCTGAAAATCTTCCAACCACATCCGTCTACATATTATATTACAAAACCCAAAAACAGAATCCCGCGAGGATCCTTCTGGATCAGAAACGGGCATGGTGGACCGACTGTGATAATTGTTTGACCATGGTTCTTGCTTGGGCCGATTACAAAACCCAAAAAGAATAATAAAAAAATTCGGATTGTGCGCCGTCGTTTTCGCGTTTCAGAAACACTCAGAGAGTGAGAGAGAGAGAGAGAGTCTTCTGCTTTTTCGTCGTCGTCGTCGTCTTCTTCTTGTGGAAGGTAAAGGGTAAAGGGTATGGTGTGAAACTGCAAAGAAGGAACTCCGGCCCTCTTTAAATCCCAGGTATGAATTATGTACCCTCTTTCGATTTCGATGCAATTTTTTAATATTTTGTTTTAGCATGCAATCGCCAACGCATTGTAGATTCACGGAGGTTGTTTCAAATGCGAATTTTGTCACTTCAATTGAGCTTTTCTGTATGAACACTCTAATTGCATCGTATGGGTTTATATTTATTTGCTTCAGTTTTCATTGCATTTCGAGTTTTTCACTTTTGTTTTCTGCTTATTTTTTGCATTTAACTGTATAAAGTTAGAGACTTGAATTATGAATCTAATCCTTATACTCATTAAGGTTATCAACAATAAATCAACTGCAAATTATGTAGTTTGGCAAAAAAGGTTGCTCTTTATTTGGACTGCAAAATAATTTGAAGAAAATTAATGGGGTTTTTCATAATTACAATGCTGCTTTGGTGTTGAAGTTTGCCCAAATTATCCAGCTCGTCTGGAAGCTTTTAAAATGACTGCAAATGCTTTTGGAACCAATCCTTAATAAAAATGCAAGTGAATCCTGGAAAAGCACTTGAAGTGCTTCATGCAAGAAGCACATAAGAAACCCAAAAACACTTTCACCAAAAGTGCTTTCAGTCATTTTAAAAGCACTTCCATACAAACCCTTCATTTCCTTTTTTCATGTTAAATACATTGGGGTTTTAACTTTTTGTTTTGAGTAACGAATTTCGCATTGTATCGTGTTCATGCCTGTGAAAAATGTCAGAGAATTTGGAATTGATAAAGGATGTATAGCTCAACAAGATCAAAAGCTATCTGGACTCCGGGGCACCGGAAAGTATTCTTTGATCTTTGTCTAGAAGAGGTGGACAAAGGGAATAAGCCGGGTACACACTTTACTAAGGAGGGTTGGAGGAATCTCATCCAAGGGTTCTACGAGCAGACGGGTTTAAGGTACACCAAGAAGCAAATGAAGAATCATTGGGATTTCACCAAGAAGCAATGGAAAGTTTGGGTTAAGCTCATCGCCGAGAGTAGTATGAAGTGGGATCCTACGACCAATCAATTTGGTGCTAGTGCAGAAGAATGGGCTCACTACATACAGGTAATGCTAATTTATTTACAGCAGCTAATGTTATGCATTTGAAGAACGATGCTATAGAGGTTTTTCGTGATTTCAGATTTGTAATTGCGAGTGCTTTGTCTCAGGTGAACCCCGAAGCTGCACAGTTTCAGCATAAGGAAATCCCGTGCCCTGACCTATTGGAAATCCTTTTTGTTGGCACTATGGATTCTGGGGACATGGAGCCTTGTGATTCTCAGAGGAAGCAAAGCAATAGCTCGGACAACTCCTTTCTGCACTCAGAAGAACAAGATTTGGTGACTGTGGAGCTGGGAGAGGAGCATATTTCAAACGCTGTTCCATTAAGGAGTTACGTGGCTCAGTCTGAACACCGTCTAACAACTGCAAGTGAGCAGAGCATATCTAGCTCATCCCATTCAAAGGCAAAGGCCGTTTGGTCGCCTGCATCCCACGGTGTATTTATTGATCTATGTCTAGAAGAGACATTGAAAGGGAACAAACCTGGGACACATTTTACCAGGGACGCTTGGAGGACTATTGTTGAATCATTTAACCAAAAAACTGGCCTTATGTATGATAGGTTGCAGTTGAAGAATCATTGGGATGTCACCAAGGAGCAATGGAGAATCTGGTGTAAGCTAATTGGCACAACTTGTATGGGTTGGAATCCGAACACCAGACGATTTGGAGCAAATGATGAAGATTGGGCCAATTACTTAGAGGTATGGTATACAATTGCCAGTAACTATTTCTACGAAGTTGGAAACTAGGAAGATTATGAATGATTTCGGGTTCTTAAATCATGTTGGTTTTGTTTTGTTACAGACCGACCCTGAAGCTGCTTCATTCCGCTTTAAGGAACCTCAATGCGCCGACAAACTGGAAATCATATATGATGGAACAATTGATACCGGAGAGACAGAGCCTCCTGCTAGGCGTAGGAAGTACAACGATAACTTGAGTACATCCGTTTTGCATATAGAAGAAGATGGAGGCATAGCGAATCAAGAGGAGAACAACGTTGGGCAACTGGATGCTGTAACATTTGCTTTTGCACAAGGCAAGCCCACTTATAGCATCGGGGAGTGCATCAACTGCCTTGATGCCATGGAGGAAGTAGAACAAGGAAGTGATCTCTATTTGTTTGCTTTAGATGTATTCCTGAAAAGGGAGTACAGAGAAATATTTCTTCAACTGAAAAGGCCTAGTGTAAGAATTGCTTGGTTGCAGCGGCTGCAATCCGTCAGCCCGCCTTTGTTCTAGGATGTTTCTTGTCTCTTGGATTTCACTTGTTCATTGAAAGGTAGCTGATTTCTTTCATCATTTACGGGTTTTTTTTCATCGTCACTCGATTAAGTAAGTGCACATATTTAGGCAAACTTAAGCAACACATGAAGAGCGATTACCAATAATTATACTGAAACTTTTTTACAAGAGAATACACAGAGCAGAACTGAGGCTATTTACATGGCTGTGGAGAGTTCAGATCAGAAATCTCCTGAAAATCTGTATGGAATGCAAATATCAATGGTGCCAACATGGAAGAACAACTTTTTTGGTGTATGTGTGTATAAGCGATATTCTACTTAAACTAGTCTAAACGGCAGAGGAATTTAAATTCGGGTGTATACGGGAGAGCACATTCGCTCTAGACAATGCGGCGACGCCCACATCTGTATGTATGTCCTCAATTTGATGTGAAAAATTGTAAAAAATTGGGTTTGGAAGCTTGAAAATCCGCTCGCCTGAAAATGGACTTCTTAGAGCATCCATGTGACTGCTTACGGAGGCTATAGCGCGGAAGCCTTCTCTCTGCATCGCGTCCCTTCGTTTGGAGAAGTAGTCATGGCTCTCCATATGCAATTCATCTTCCGATCTGCCGAAAACAGAACGACCAATCAGAACTCAGAAACCTCCAACTAATTTTACCTAAAAGACAACAGAAAGAAGGGGCATTTGGATAGTAACAAATACCTCATAATCAATGAAGACCAAGCTCTATATCCTGCAGATATAAGATCCTCCATGGAAGAATTTCGCTCCGCCTCCGGTTTTCTTGAGAGCAGAATCAAAGGCCAACCACCAGCATGAAGTTCCATATATAATCTCAGAATAAACATCTGCTTCAGATGCTTTGCCTCTTCCACAAAATCACTACCACCATACTGATCATATCTGTGCACAAGGAAACGGGATAGCTCGAAAGCCGGAACTATGGAAGAACAGATGCTTCAAGGACTAAAAGGAGATTAAATTACCGGTGCAGTCTACGATTTGAAGAAAGAATGTCATCTATGTCGATCAAGACCACGTCGAGACCATCGTGTGTTGGGGTAATGCTGCTGAAATAATTCTGAATCATCGACACGGTAGAATTTAAGTCTCTTGCGTATTGACCTTCTTTGATGTACTGAAGGGCAACAACCCTGCACATTGAAGGGAAGCGATCTGCTTCAACGGCGTTGAGTTCCATATGCAGAGAGAAGATCTGGCAGTGATTGTAATCGAAACTCGGTTTCTGAGTCTCAACGACTCCATGGCTCTTACTTTCGCAAGACTGCAGCATTACAGTCAGTGCAATCAGCAAGGTGATCAATAAGACCCCAACAGCTACAAGTGCACCAATGAAGATTGCCGTAGCAAAAGACGACATGTAGAACCCCGTCTCCATGGCATAACTGCTTGCCCTCTCTGTGTCCACGAAATGGAACAGTATCAATAGTTGATTAATTAAAAGCTCAACATGCTTCTGATTATATGAACGAAGGCCTCGGGGCTTGTTTGGTGCCTAGGGTTGGATTGAATAACTCGTTTGTCATACGTTTCTTCCTTCAACATGTACTGAATCTATAGATCTTAGACACCAAACGAGGCCTAAAGATATAACATTTCACTGAGCTACCACCTAACAAAAGCACTTGTAAAAAAACGCTTATGAGCAGAAACGCTTCCTACGATTTGAAGAATGTTATCACATACCTGAACCTCCACCCGAAAGACTCTGGGCGGAGTACTCGCGCTCCATATGACGTCCATAGGCAGACATGGTTAAAATCCAAGACAAATCACCAGCTCAAATATTCTGCAGAACAACTCCAGGTCCCTTCCTGTTCACAGAAGGATCACCCGCAAGTCTGCAACCTACAAAAGTGACATTAAACATCATGACAACGCAACAGCCACCATAACCACTTCTCAGATTCTCAAATTATTCGAGGAAAACACCGCGAAAAACGCTAAATTTACAAAAGAAACCTCATTCTCTAAATCTGATGCTTACAGTTTTTCAGATGCACCCCTTAAAGCCAGCTTGTTCATTGTTCAGTTGAATCTCATCATATTCCGGAATCCACCGTTCAACTATGTCCAGTTAGACCAAATCCAATAAAAACATCAATTTCATGAAAAAATACAATAATAAATATATATAAAAAAGCATGAGTTGCGTCGGGAGTTGGGACAAGTAAGACCATCTGCTGATTTGCAGATCATTTAACCAATCCAATATTATTTTCCACAATTTTTACATTTTGGCCCCAAAGGGAAATCAAGGAAACCGATAATACAAGTTGACCGCCCTAATCAGATGATATTTAACTAAATAACTGAAGCTACAGGGAGGGGGAGAGAGAGATATATAGAATACCAGAGAGAGAGAGAAACATTGGATTGGAGAGATTGTGTGACAAGGCAGCTCTCTCTTCCTCTGTCGTGTTCTTGGAGATGGGGGGGAGAGAGAGACTTGAAGAAGTTTCCTTTGTTAAAATTAGCAATCATTATGATTATGATTTTACTGTTTTACAGGTCCCATGAACCAGGGGGTACTTGTCAAACAAAGAAACACTCTACTAGGTACACTTTTGTAATTAGCTGTCGAATTCAAACTCATCGTATAACTTTTCACTTATGAGTTAAGTTACAAGTGAAAAAAATAACATTAGACCGTATTTAATTAGTGTAATTTTTCTAATCATTGACACTTTTGCCATAAATACCACGGTCTAGATTGTACGTATACGTATATATTTTCCATTTACTTGTTACTTTGTTAGTGGGAGATCTCATGTTCTACTCGGTGAGTTTGTTACCTAATTATAGTTGACCATATCTCATCTTCTCATATTTGATATATACCACCACTCAAATGTTAGAATTCAAATTTGAGTTTTGAGTCCTCTCGGGCTCTGGAATGGTGGACTACCGCGCAAGAGCCACCAGCTGGTTTCTTCTTAGGAAAAAGAAAAAATTGAGTTTGAGCTAAATGCTTGAATTTTCTTTTTTTGAACAAATGATATTTTCTACTCTAAAAGAAAGGGGTGTGCTTAATCTCACAATGCGATAGCAATAATGTGGTTTAAATTCGATTTTGGTAATAATAGAGTCTAAGATTTCTTATTTAGAAATAAAAAGAAATATTATATTATTAAATGACGAGTCTAAATCCTTGAATTGAATAATGAAAAGTTATATTTTGTGTTTTACTATATATGACTTTTGTTGGTAAGGATTGAGAAATCATAATCTTTTGTGGTTGTGGGCCAGTTAAGGAGAATTTGCTACCAAACCGACTCTTAAATTAATTAATCTTAATTAATGGTTTTAGTTCCATACTTATCATTAAAAAGATGCATTTGCTATTGGCTCTGAAACATTATTGTATAAATGCCAACTGTCTGACATGTCCAGCCATCCCTACACGATTTTCATATCCAGATGAGCATCATCCAATATTATATTATACAGATCAGAATGAACTATATATAATATTCTTGTCTTGACATTTGTCGTGATTCTATAGGTCACCAAAAAATTGAGCCATGTAATGTTTGATTCTCTTATCAGCCACAATAAGCACTTTTCCTGTGAGCACTTAAATTTTGAAGAAGCACTTTTATTGCTTCACGGCCAAGTGACAGGCCAGTTCTTCAACTGCTACAACATATTACTAGGTAATTGGTTTCTTCCTTCGGTTAGTTTCTCCAAATCGTCCTCAAGAATACCATTTTTTTTTTCAATTATCTGTATGTAAATTTGGTTAAATATAAAATATTTAGCACAGAGTACACTTTAAACTCATCAATTAAAGAGAACTTCAATGCGTACTTCATGATCACCCACCTAAATTTGGTATAGATGATTGAATTGGAATTGATAAATAACTATTTTCAAGGAATGATGAAAGAAGAAATGAAAATTCTTGTTGCGGACAATTTTGCTAACATGGGATTGTCTTCTCCATCTTTAACTTGGCATGATTCTCCTCCGATGGCGGTTCGTGCTGCCCTGTTTTCAGACTATGTTAGCTTGCTTAGTTACCGCTTATCAAATTAATGTGCATGTCAGCATCCAGGTTTGTCTCATTTTTTTTTTCTCCTAACTTTACGGGGTTGTTTGACTTGTTTTGCAGGTTTAGACCTTTAGGTTTGGTTTTAGAGGGGTTAGGTTTCATGTCCCCCCCTTCCCTCTTTTCTTTGTATATTTCTCGTTTTTTGTTTCTAGAAGGGTAAGGTTTATGTCCTCCCTTCTTTTTCGTGTATTCATTTTTATTGTCTCTGTTTTTTTAGGGGTAAGGTTTATGTCCCCCCTATCTAAGTGTAACTTTTTTTTTTCGTTATCAATAAAATTATCCTCGTACCGTCGAGGTTTCCAAAAAAAAGAAAAAAAAAGAAAAAAAAAAGAAATGAAAATTCTATGACAAACTTGAAGGTAGGAGATAGATAACTCAAGAAGAAAAGTTATCCATTTGCAAGTGGTTTGTAGCTTACGTGGTTAAGAGTCTTCGCTCTTGCATCCAAACGTGTTCATTTCCACTCGTAATTTAGATGAAAATAGTATAGGTTTATCCTATCGTTTGTGAAAAATAGAAATTATCCATATCAATTCTCCCAAAATGAAAGGTTTCGCACAAATAAATTTTCTTCATATCTAATCGTCTTCTAATCCATTTTTTTAAATGAGACATTGTTCTCCTTTACTTTCAAAAATACCTAATTTCGAGGACTATCCGTTACATTCAATCCTCAATACCAATTGAGGCCTAAAGATCCTTTGGACAATACAAACGAATGGGAATAATACGTAAGCAGAACCAAAGGCGGTTGGGCACACACAAACTTACAAACAGTGGGTTAACATATCTCTTGGGAGGAGCAGGGCAGATAGCAGAGCCACAGAACACTTTGTCAGCACATCTACTCGTCGGCCTCCACGTGTCGAAACACCATTTCCCGCCTTATCTGGTATCCCCCAACAAGACAAAGTATACTACCGAAAATTGTTGATCAGAATATCAATCTCTGGAGTAGTATTTTCCAAAAGCATGGAGGCCACCATAGCTTGCTGCTCATCCGCCAGGGCGCTCCTGCCGGCTGCCGGCATTTCGACTCACCAGCATTCCACTTCAGTTGTGGCTCCATCTTTCAGCTCCAAGGTTATTAGCATTTCATTTCATTTATGCATGTGTCATCACATAAAACTTAAGGTATCATCACATGGTGTAATTGGAGCTTCCTTGTGACTGCAGGGCCTAAAATCAAGCTCCCTCTTCGGAGAATCACTACGACAAGTGCCACGATCATCGCTCAAGTTTTCTACAACAAAACAGTCCTCCCATGTGATCAAGTGTGAGATCGGCGATAGCCTGGTGAGTTACACAAAAGAACAACTTTTGTTCAACGTAACAATAGTTTGGAAAATGAAAGTTTGTCTAAGCAACATTGAAAATGTAAATTGTGCGAAAATATTTATTGCCACTGTAGGAGGAGTTTCTTGCAAAATGAAAGTTTGTCTAAGCAACATTGAAAATGTAAATTGTGCGAAAATATTTATTGCCACTGTAGGAGGAGTTTCTTGCAAAGGCAACCCCGGATAAGGGACTGATCAGGTTGCTGTTAAGCATGGGAGAAGCATTGAGGACTATATCCTTCAAGGTCAGAACAGCTTCTTGTGGAGGAACAGCCTGCGTTAATTCTTTCGGAGATGAGCAGCTCGCCGTGGATATGCTTGCTGACAAGCTTTTGTTCGAGGTAAGGAAAAGATAAGTTTCGGTTCTTGTTGAGTTTTGGTTTTAATATTTGTTGTATATTTCATTATGAAGATTACAAGAGAGTGAAGACAACTATTATAGAGAGCCAAAAGAAAGCTACAATAGATTGTAGGATAACTACAAAAACACAATCCCTAAAATCTCCCCTAACAAGTGGAAAAGCAAAAACACAATCCCTAAAATCTGCCCTAACAAGTGGAAAAACAAAAACCAAATTACAAGCAACTAAGAAAGGTTGACAAAAGGAAGGTAAGATGAATGACAAGCTATGAAAAGTGATGAAAATAGGGTTAAGACCATCACTTTAGCCTATAACCCATCCATATAAATTGGTTTCAATACACCCTCTCAAGCTGGATCAAGGGGATTGATTGATCCAAGCTTGCACAACAAACGCTGAAACTGAGTAGAGTCTAGTGCTTTTGTGAATAAATCAGCAAGTTGATCGTTGCTGTGTGTGAACATGGTGTCTATCACCTTGGATTGAGCTTGAGCACGAATATAATGGCAGTCAACTTCAATATGTTTGGTCATTTCATGGAATACTGGATTGGAGGCAATGTGCATGGTAGCTTGGTTATCACAATACAAGGACATAAGTGCCATGCTTGTGAATCCGAGCTCGAAAAGAAGACCTTTCAACCATATGAGTTCACAGGTTGTTACTGCCATAGCCCTATACTCAGCTTCGGCACTAGATCGAGCAATAACAGTTTGTTTCTTGCTCTTCCAAGTGACAAGGTTCCCTCCAACAAATGTGCAAAAACCTGTTGTGGATTTTCAATCAAGGGCATTTCCAGCCCAGTCAGCATCTGTGTAGGCCAAGATGTGATTTGATCCATTGTTCTTCATAATTATCCCCCTTCCAACTAAGCCTTTGAGATATCGAAGTATTCTCTTGACGATTTCCCAATGAACTAGAGTAGGAAAGTGCATGAACTGACTGGCTAGGCTAACTGAATATGAGATATCAGGCCTAGTAATGGTGAGATAAATAAGTTTCCCAACCATTCGCTGATAAACACTAGGGTCCGAGAAAGGTTCACCTTTTTCATGCCACTGAAGTTTGCTAGCTAGGGGTGTCCGAGCTGGTTTATGTTCTATCATGTTAGCTTCATCTAGAAGATCGAGAACATACTTTCTTTGATTCAAGAACAATCCCTTTGAAGAGGTAGCCACCTCAATTCCAAGAAAGTATTTCAAGGGCCCCAAGTCTTTAATGAAATTTTTTTGGTGAAGTGACTGCTTAAGCATCTTGATTTCACTTATATTGTCACCTGTAATAATTAGGTCGTCAACATATATAAGCACAACCAATTTGCCAGCAATACCACTTCGAACAAACAAAAAAGAGTTAACATGACTCATTTTGAACCCTGAGGCTTCAAGGACTGAACTAAGCTTCGAATACTAAACTCGAGGGGATTGTTTGAGACCATGTATGGCTTTGTGAAGTTTGCAAACCTTGTTGGGTTCATTTTCTCTTGGATGACCAGGAGGCAACTTCATGTACACTTATTCTTCAAGATCCCCATAAAGAAATGCATTCTTCACATCCATTTGGAATAAGGGCCATGCATTATTGACTACCACAGACAACAATACCCCCAATGTGTTCATTTTGGCAGTAAGAGCAAAGGTCTCTTTATAGTCAATGCCATAGGTTTGAGTAAAGCCTTGAGTAAAGCCTTGAGCTACTAACCGTGCCTTGTGTCTTTCAATGCTTCCATTGGAGTTGAATTTGGCCTTATATATCCACCTATTTCCCACGACTTTCTTGCCATTTGGAAGATCCACCGCACTCCATGTCTGGTTGTCATTCAAAGCTTGAAGCTTTTTAGTCATAACATCTTGCCATTCAGGCATGCATGTGACTTCATGAAAATTCCTTGGTTCGAAAGTGTAAGTAACATACTCTTGTAACGTCACTGGTGGATGTCTATCTTGTGTAGGATTTCTTCTTGGTGCACTTATAACTTGCTAATTTGGTTGAGCTTCTGATGGTCCAGAAGTGCTTGGCACTGCATCAATTACACTCTCAGTGTGTTGAGAATTATCAGTGTTGATATGAGCATGAGTGACTTCATGAATTCTGCTGGAATAGGTAGTGGAAATAGGTCCATAAGATCTTCCATATTAGCATTAGTCTCCAACCCTTTGTGGAAATAAGGTGAATATTCATCAAATCGCACATCTTTAGAGACTGCCAGCTTCCCCATGTTAAGGTTGTACACTTTGTAACCCTTTTGAGAACTGGCTTATCCCATAAACACACATTTAACAGCTTGAGGGTCTAGTTTGTCACGATGGAGAGCTTGAATGTGCACATAACAAGTACAACCAAAGGTCCTAAGGTGAGACAAGTTTATAGGCCTGCCCTTCATGACTTCAAAAAGAGATTTAGTATTCAACACCCGAGTTGGCAGTCTATTAATGATGTACGTGGCAGTGAGTAGGGCTTGAGACCAAAATTTCTTAGGAACATTCATTTGGATCATAAGTGATCGAGTCTTCTCCAATAAGTCTCGATTATTTCTTTCTGTCACACCATTTTGTTGTGGTGTACCAACACAACTAGTTTGATGCAAAATGTCATGATTGCTCAAGTAATTACTCATGTTATTGGAAGTGTACTCGGTACCATTATCTGATCTTAACATAAATAACTTAGATGAAAATTGATTGGTGATTAGGTTGTGAAAGTCCTTAAAAACATCGAACAAATCACTTTTAAGTTTTAAAAGATACAACCAGGTTACTCTAGAATAGTCATCAATAAATGTAACATAATATCTATACCCATCAAAGAATTCTATACGAGAAGGACCCCAAATATCTGAGTGAACAAGCTCAAAAAGTTTACTAGTTCTAGAATTAGAGGAAACAAAAGGAAGTCTAGTGGCTTTTGACATTTGACAAGTTTCACACTCCAGTGTGTTTTTACAAAAAAAGGGAAACAACTTGGTCATCACATGTTCTGAGGGATGGACAAGGCGTTGATGCCAGAGTTGGTGTTCTTGAACTTGACTTAAGTTGATATTGAGTTTTTTTGACAAAATTGAACTCATTTGAGAGATAGTAGAGTCCATTCAAGAAGAATCCTTCACCAATCTTCTTCTGAGTAACTCGGTCCTGAAACACAACATTGTGAGGGGAAAATATGGCAAGACAGTCTAAGGTTTTTGTGATTTTTCATATTGACAAGAGCTGAAAAGGAAAAGAAGGTACATAAAGAGCAGTGGAATCAATATGCTCACTTGGCAATCTAATCTTTCCTTTCCCTAGAATAGGTTCCCCTTTCCCATTTGCAACAGATACATGAATTGGATCAATAGTTCTTTGAAAATCGTGAAGACTAGAGGGTTTATTAGTTATATGATCAGTGGCACCAGAGTCAATAATCCAAAAATCATGTGTAACATTTGTATTAAGAGCAGTGGAAATGACACTGATAATACCTGGAATATTGCATTTTGATGTGTTTTCCGAGTCAGCCAAGAATCCAGCAAATTTCCCTAGCATTGCAGTAGGGTTTTCATGTGTCATTTCATCAGGTTCAGTGCTTCCTTGCTTCTTTTGAAGAAAAACAGCAAACTCGTTGATCAAGGACACATGATTTATTGAGAAATTGGCCATCCCATCAGTTGAGGAACAAGCTGAATGAAATGCTTTTGGAATGACTCATCATTTCCCATCTTTGATCATCTTGCCTTCCCTATCAAACTTAGGCTTTAACTCCGGATGAAGAATCCAACATTTTTCTCTCAAATGTCCCTTCATGTTGCAATAAGAACATTTCCAGTCTGCTTTCTTGCCAAGCACCCTATCACCAGTTGCTTTGTGATTTGTCGTGAAAACCCTAGCCTTAGAGTTGGATTTGGGCTCAACGTTCATCACTATTCATCGAGTTTCCTCTCTCTGGATTGCATGACACACACTGATAAAGGAGGGCAACTCTTAAGTCATTAACAAGTGACTACGCATGTCTTCATAATCCCAAGCTTGGTAAGAGTTGAAACACCTTGTCTTCATCAGCTTTTTTCAGTAGCACATCGGAATTAGTCGTGTGTGGATGATACATATCGAGTTCATTCCACATGGATTTCATACTTCCAAGGTGTTGAACAAAGGAGTGATCACCTTGCTTTAAACTAGCCACACTCTTCTTCAGTTGAAAGATGTGAACTGAGTTGTTTTGGCTGCCATACATGTCTTTGACAGACTTCCATAGGAGAAGGGAAAACTCTGAGTAACTGAAAAGCTCAGACAATTTTGGCTCCATGAAGTTAAGTATCCAGGACATGACCAGCTGATCAATAGCATGCCATGCATCGTAGGTTGGTGAAGTGGATTCTGGGGGCTCAGAGCTTCCATTAATAAACCCTAACTTCGATCTTCCTCCTAGAGCAAATGACACAACTCTTGACCAATGAAGGTAGTTGAACTTGTTCAGTAACACTGAGCATAGTCGTTGATTTGGATTGTTCTCACCCCATTGGGTTAAGTTTGGGGAGGAGGATGAGGCACTGTCGGCACTAGACACATTTACTTTTGCCATCTTTATCGATGATGAGCAAATGAAGAAGTAAAAAAAAATATGAACAGAGTCAGGACCCTATGGTTCCTGCTATGATACTATGTTGAGTTTTGGTTTCAATATTTGTTGTATATTTCATTATGAAGATTACAAGAGAGTGAAGGCAACTCTTATAGAGAGCCAAAAGAAAGCTACAATAGATTGTAGGATAACTACACAAACAATCCCTAAAATCTCCCATAACAAGTGGAAAAGCAAAAACACAATCACTAAAATCTGCCCTAACAAGTGGAAAAGCAAAAACCAAATTACAAGTAAAGAAGCTTTTACAAGCAACTAAAAAAGGTTGACAAAAGGAAGGTAAGGTGAATGACAAGCTATGGAAAGTGATGAAAGTAGGGTTAAGACTATCACTTTAGCCTATAACCCATCCATACAAACCGGTTTCAATAGTTCTGCTTGTATTGTTCTGATGAAATTTGAAAGTCATTCTTCCACAAATGCATCAGAATATAGGATTTGTATACTTTCAGGATCAGCAATAAAATTAATGCCTGTTACATTTGGTGCCTTAGGCCTTAAGTTACTCGCACGTCTGCAAATACGCTTGCTCTGAAGAGGTTCCGGAACTCCAAGACATGGGAGGCCCAGTTGAAGGTCAGCAAGTCCTATCTTATAATGAATTGATCTCTGATCTTAAAATTTTTTTTTTCTTGTAACGGAGGATGAGATGATCAAAAGGGTTTAGCCTAATTATCGAATTTGCAATACGAGCAGGTGGATTTAGTGTTGCTTTTGATCCGCTTGATGGCTCCAGCATAGTCGACAAACTTCACAGTAGGGACAATCTTTGGTGTGTGGCCAGGGGATAAGTTAACTGGGGTAACAGGAAGAGACCAAGTTGCTGCAGCCATGGGGATTTATGGTCCTAGAACTACATATGTTCTTGCTATCAAGGGCTTCCCCGGAACCCACGAGTTTCTTCTTCTTGATGAAGGTATCATTGTAACAATAATTTAATTATTTAAACCTCCCATGTTCCCAAAAAAGGAAAAAAATGTTCATCAAAAGTATGAGGTGCTCAATCCTGTTGGCTGTAAATCGATATCTCACGTGAATGTCTTGGTCAGGAAAGTGGCAACATGTCAAAGAGACAACAGAGATTGGTGAAGGAAAAATGTTTTCGCCCGGGAATTTGAGAGCCACATTTGACAATCCAGACTATGACAAGGTTTAAAGAGCAATATTATTTCATTACTGCACTACTAATCAGTAGTGAAGCAGATTCATCAATTTTTTGTCAATTTTTTTTTTTGTTTATCAACAGTTGATCAGCTACTACGTAAAAGAGAAGTACACGTTGAGATACACCGGAGGAATGGTGCCAGATGTCAATCAGGTCTTCTCGACTTCCTCTTAATCAAACAAACAGATAACTGCTCATTTGTGTTTGGCAATTAGCACTCTTAAAAGGTTCACCAATTTATGGTTTCTTTGTGTGCAGATAATTGTGAAAGAGAAGGGGGTTTTCACAAACGTGATATCTCCAACTACGAAAGCCAAGCTGAGGCTGTTATTTGAGGTAGCTCCATTAGGGTTGTTGATTGAGAATGCTGGAGGTTATAGTAGTGATGGTCAGCAGTCTGTGCTAGACAAGGTCGTTGTTAACCTTGACGATAGAACTCAGGTTGCTTATGGATCAAAAAATGAGATAATCCGATTCGAAGAAACTTTATACGGATCATCCAGGCTCAAAGGTGTGCCTGTTGGAGCTGCAGCTTAAGCCATGCATTCCTTTCTCGTATAATGGTGCACAAATTTTCCAAAGGTGGTGGAAATGGATCCAAGTTTAATTTAGTATATCGTTATAGTTTGTATTAGGTATATGTGCAGTTGTGCACCTTATTCACCATACTATATATATAGCAACTTGGTGCGTGTTTACAAAGCATTGAAAGGCTTTCAAATGATCTAAAGTAGCAATGTTTACATGTGATTAGCATGATGATTAAGTTGTTGGTCAAATTTGCAGGCTTCGACGAATGTTTTAGTTTGAACACAAGACAGTTACATAGTCCACATCATGTCGAGAGTCACATATTTGCAAAGTAAAGCCTTCAATAATAGCAATCAGATTGATTTTAAGTTGGATGTTCACATTCTAATATGATATTAGAGTGAGTGTGTTTATTTTTCTATTCAATGATATGGCATTTATACGGACAAGAAATTGAACCCTCGAAAAAACAATAAAAAAATAAATTCTAATGACTGTAGTAATCCAAAATTTTGTAAATTCCTAAGTTATGCCTTGAAGTATCCCCTAATAAGATCCAACCTTTTTTGTCTTCCAAAGGTATACATTCCAAGACCATATATTGTTTCATGACATATTCCTTCATGAACAGCTCTGCTTTCATTGGAAATACTGTTCCTACAACCAAGTTGTCTGTCAGGAAACACACAGAAAAGCATGGTATGATTACTACATTCCCTTTTCAATTTTATCCGTATATGAAAACGACGCTATTTTAATCTCTCAAATCATAATATAGCTACAATTTTCTCTTTTCACACTTAATTTCTTGAGGTACTAACTTATGAAAATTTGATTTTGAATTTGCTAAAGTTATTGGTGAAATCATAGAACTCAAACTTCCGGATTTTTTTCTTCAGGCATCTGAGGCCAGAACTGCGAAATGGCGCGGATCAGTGGGGGGCATTGTTGAAGCTCCTATAGACAAAGTGTGGAGCATGGTTTCTCAAACCAAAAGACTAGCCGAATGGATGCCGATGGTTGAGCGCTGCACTGATCTAGCTGGAGAGGAAGGCGTTCCAGGATATGTTCGGTTAGTCTCGGGCTTCATGTTCCCTCAAGACGATGGAGACAGGTCATGGATCAAAGAGAAGTTGGTGTCCATGGACTCATCACAACATAGTTATGCGTACAAACTGGAAGCAAGCAACGTAGGGTTGGATGGGTCTGTAAATTCACTGAAGCTTGTAGATTATGGGGATGAGTCAACCCTAGTTGACTGGTCATTTGAGGTCAACCCCGTTGAAGGTGCACGTGAGGACAGCACTGTAGATTATCTAGGGTTTCTGTTTAAGTCTTGCATTAATAGGATTGAAGCTGCTTTAGAAGCAGCATCCAAGAAAGTTTGAGTAGAATGTTATTGTACATGTTTTTGTTTAAGTAAATAAAAAATAAAACTCAACTTTCTGTTTTTTTTTCCTATTCCTTTTGGTACACCTATGCTATATTGAACTGAAATTTTTATGGTTTCAAGGTTGAGGCGGTCTAGCAGCTAACTACTAATTGATCAAACACCAATATTGTTCTTGATTTAACTACCTGTACAGTCCAATTGTGTAACATGCAATTCACACACATAAGAGGGCTCCCTGAAAAACATGGAGTTCTTCGGGCTTCCATTTCGAACAATGTTGTTGGTTGCCTTCTTGTATCTGGCATTTGTCGAGTCCTTGATTCGACACTATAACTTCAGTGTCTTGTTTCAAATTAAGCTCGCATGTATTGATGTTTCAATACTAGCTAGTGTAACATTAACGGCTGGATTATATATGCAGGTGGTCTTCAAGAGCACAACAAATCTTTGTTCTTCGAAGCCCATCGTCACCGTGAATGGGAAGTTCCCCGGACCAGCTCTATATGCAAGGGAAGATTATACCGTAATTGTAAAGGTCACCAACCATGTGAATCACAGTGTCACAATCCACTGGTGAGAACTATTCTATTCCCACAAATATACGAGAAATTTTTATGCGAGACTGTTCCTGTCACGTGACAATACTGAGTGACAAAACAATTTAACTAAAAGATGATATACATCCAAATTTAATGACTGATTTTACTTTTCTTTTTAAATGTTTGTCATTTTTTAACTGAATTACATTGTCATCTTAAAAGTTGATGAAATCCTAATAAATTAATCATATAATTTTGGTAATGGAAGGCATGGGGTGAAGCAACTTGGAACAGGTTGGTCAGAAGGGCCAGCATATATCACACAATGGCCCCACAAAACCTGGCCAAAACTATATCTACAATTTCACACTTACAGGCCGAAGAGGCACACTTCTTTGGCATGCACACGACTCTTGGCTAAGGGCCGCTCTACACGATGATATGGTCATATTGCCTAAGAGAGGCTCTTCGGATTGTGCTAGATACAAGGCTGTCATATCACCAGAGAGCCATCCAACACATTTCCATGGAATTCCCCGATTCATTGTTTCTCCTATTCCAAGTAGCATGCTAACAATTTTTACAAATGAATTGTAATTTATTAGAAATTTATTGTTTTTGGTGAACGGTAGGTATTTGGTTTCTGCATTGTCACCTGGAAGTTCACACAACATGGGGGCTTAAGATGGCATTCACAGTGGAAAATGGCGAAGGACCAAATGAGTTCATGTCGCCACCTCCGACTGATCTTCCAACTTTCTGGATTTTCCGACCCGAGCGGCTTTCAAATTGAGGACTGAGGCTCTACACATGAGAAGAGTGTGCAGGGTAGAATATGAACTGGATTGAGAAGCAACAATAGGGAGGAAAATAGAATAAGAGCATTATTTTGTAAAATGACCTTAAAAAAAAAAGTAATATTTTGTAAAAATGACCTAAAAATAATAAACGCGCCAGATAGGGGTCGAACCTATGACCTTCTGCTTAGGAAACAGACGCTCTATCCACTGAGCTACAGGCGCTTGTTGATAGGTATTGCGGTTGAGCTTTATTTAATGGATCCAAGTGAGTTGGCCAAAGGAAAACAAACAAATAATTGAAAATTGAGAGTGACAAACCATTTGTGTCCTCCAACACACCATTGTTTATTATTGACTTGTTCAATTTGATGGTCAAAAATAAAAATAGTATAGTATTTTTATGAAAAGTTGGAACCGTCGTAGCTAATTTGTTTGGTATACCAATAAAAAAAGTCAAACTGCATCGTATTGGTTTTATGTGGTTTGATTCCACTGTAATTTTGAGCTTATGTAAATGTATCAGACCGAACATCCACTTGTATATTTATCTGTATATTGTTTATACATGTAGTACTACAATAGGCTGATAACTAAAAGTGTATGTTCAACTTTGAAGTCGAGTGGGAGTTACGAATGAGGGTTGGTTGAGTTGGTAATGATCGTTATTTTTGCTATATTAAGACCTATGTTTGGGTCTCGCTGTCGACAATCGTTCTTGATAGGCGATTTGTGAAAACAAAACAAAAAAAGACTAAAACCCCTCTGTAAGTCCTCAAAGAAGCTCGTAGTATGCCATGACCTGAAATGGTTTAGCCTTCCCTCTTCCTTAACCTTTTGTTACCAAAAGAAAAAAAAGGATGTCGAGTGGGAGTTTAAAGCAGTTGATTTAGTTGTAACTATAATAGTTATTGAGCTTTGAAATTTATGTGCAAGAAAATAAAATATATGTAGCAGTCACAAAATATTTTGTCATAATTAAGCTGATGAAGTTGAAAAATGTAAAAGAAATAAGATTCAACCAAAAGAAAACCATAAAAATTAGGGGTGGACACTTGAAATTGAAAACTAAAAGGGAAATACGAATCAAATCGGACTGCATCTCACGGTTCGATTTTTTAGATGTCAGATTTTAATTGATTATGTCACATCCCGGCCTGGGTCCCCACCACATCCCGGGCTCGACTCCGCCGTAACATGATATTGTTCGCTTTGGGCCCCAACCACGCCTTCACGGTTTTGTTTCTGGGAACTCACACGAGAACTTCCCAATGGGTCACCTATTATGGGATTGCTCTCACGCAAACTCGCTTAACTTCGGAGTTCCGATGGAACCCGAAGCTAGTGAACTCTCAAAATGCCTCGTGCTAGGTAGAGACGGGAATATGTATATAAGGCTTACATGATCCACACCCATGGGCGATGTGAGATGTTACAATCCACCCCCCCTTAGGGGCCTGACTTCCTCGTCGGCACACTTCCAGCCAGAGATTGGCTTTGATACCAAATTGTCACATCCCGGGCTCAACTTCGCCGTAGCACGATATTGTCCGCTTTGGGCCCCGACCACGCCCTCATGGTTTTGTTTCTGGGAACTCACACAAGAATTTCCTAGGTATCACTTGATTTCGTTGAGTATTGAAGAAGTTATGAACGTTTAAAGTTTATCCAGTTTCTTGCGAGTTTTCCAGTTTTTCCTCGGACCAGTCAACTTTGAGGCTATTTTCCGGCCATATCCGGCTACCATTGGGCTTCTAAATAGGTATAATATTATTCTATATTTTCCTATCTTCATTTTGATATATTATGGGTCGAATTTGGTTAAGAAACGATTGAGTTACGAAACTTTGAAAATTGCCCAAACTTCTGGCCAAGAGCTTTGGGACACTTAACGGAGTTTTTAACGGAATGACCAAAATGATGGATGGTGGACAATCTCAGGGACCACTTTGATTGATTTGAAATGTTAGGGACCAAAGTGATAATTATGCAAATCTCAGGGACCATTTTGGCTATTTACCCTTCTTTTTTTTTGGGAGCAGTCTCTCCATAAATGGGGGTAAGGCTAGCCGACATTCACCTCTTCCAGACCCTACGTAAAGCGGGAGCCTTGTGCACTGGGTACGACGACCCTTTTTTTTTTTTTTTTTTTTTGGAAAACTCATAGATTTTGGTTTCATCACAAACATATTTGCAAAAAGTTTTGGTTTTGATTTCGGTTTCACTTTCACTCAAAACTTCTTTGAATTGAACCGTGTCCACCACTAATCAAAATTAGTGATTCTTGCTGTAATCAAATTCAATTAAACTGTTTTACTGCAATTGGTTTGGTGACGATTTTTAAAAGTAAAATTAATCCAACACGAAATCCGAACGATATCCATCCGTACCTAATTTAACCAAAATATAAATTAATGAATAATACTTGAAAAATGCCATGTTTCTCAATCCCATTACACAAAAGCCACAGAACACAACAGAATCCCCCATTTTTTAAAAACTTTAACGACTCACTCAGCAGAAAGATAAACATCCGAATTTTAGCCCCCGGCAAAAAAGGAGAAGAGAAATCCAAACCTCTCTGACTCCCCACAGTCCAATCCCACCGCGCCGTGTGTCACGCATCACATCTCTCTCAACTGATACATCGTACACTCACACAGACTTCACAGAATGCAACAATTGCTGAAGTGGTTCTGATCAATTTTTTTGATTCTCACCCTCCTTTCACAGTCTATATATACACCTATATATACACTTTCATCTTTTCCTCTTCCTTCTCTTCAAAGCAACGAAGCCAGTAAATCTTTTTTCCCGCTTTTCTCAGCCGTAATTCCCCTAGAATCTATCTTTTCTCTCAACTGGGATTTTATTGCTTTTCAATCCTTCATCTTTCAGTCTTTTTCTGGTTAAATTTCAGAAGTTTTCAACTTTTTACGATGTGGGTTGCTTTCAGATTGCTATAAAGCCCTCACCTTTGAGCTTAATTTCGTTCAAATCCCAAAATTTCATCTGGGGTTTCCCCTTTCTCTCTGGGATTATACCCAACGAACCAAATCAGATTTTTGTCAGGGTTTTCCAAGGTTCTCCCCGATTCCCAAAAAGTGGATTCGTTCCAAGATTCTTTGGTTTATGTTATCAAGGAAAAAGGAGATTCTTGATTCCCAGTAAAAAATCTGAATTGAATGCCTTTTTAAGCTTTACAACAATGGCCTCCGACTGAATAAGTGAAGCAGTTCCTGCATATTTTTACGACTTGTAAAAGCATGGAGACCTTGTATTTCTTCCAGGAGAGCCAGGGCTCGGAGTGGACTAAGGAGGAGAACAAGATGTTTGAGAGTGCTCTAGCTATGTTCGATGAGAAAAGCCCGGACAGGTTTCTGAGGGTGGCGGAGATGATTCCGGGGAAGACGGTGATCGACGTGATCAAGCAGTACCAGGAGCTGGAGGAAGATGTTTGTGAAATAGAATCCGGGAGGTTTCCCATTCCTCCGGGGTACCCTCAGGCTTACTTCAGATTGGAGTTGGGGGATGATCGGGATTTCGATGCTAATCGAAAGAGGCCGCTGGCGGCGGCGAGGGGTTCTGAACAGGAAAGGAGAAAGGGAATTCCATGGACACAAGAAGAACACAGGTTTATCTCCATCCATTTTTTTTTTTACAATTGCCTTTAATTTTTGTGCTAGTTCTAAATTCAAGTAAATGGAGAATTCTTACATGCAACGTAGCATTAACGTGCAAGACCTATTTGAAATGATTATTTCATTTTCTATGAAAATAGAGGAAAATATATGGATTAAACTTTCGTTTTCTTTATTTTTCGAAGTAGTTTTTATGACAAAACGATATTCTAAGCTTACTCTAATCAACCGGAAGAGGATCTCCAAGGGGTGCAATGGACGGTTAATATACTATCTAAGCCAACTGACCTAAAGCATGGTGTAGTCTGCAACTAGTTTGTTATGAACCACTCTAGCTTCATGTTCTAGATATAGTTCAAAAGCAGTCATCTATTTAAATCTTCAAATCCAACTTGATTTTGATGGAGCGGAGTGATTTCCGCACTGCTAGTTTTACCTTCTACTTTCCTCGGCCTTAATTATGACTCTTGATTCTCCTCGAAGTATGGTGGTGAATAAAATATGTTAGTCAAATCGCAATTGTCTAGAATACAGTTTGATTTCTCTGTGTTTTCTTGGTATATTTTTTGGCACAAATTGCTGGTATGAATCGTAGGCGATTTCTGATGGGACTTCTAAAGTACGGGAAAGGGGACTGGAGAAACATCTCCCGGAATTACGTGGTCACTAAAACTCCCACACAAGTAGCAAGCCATGCTCAGAAATACTTCATGAGGCAGCATTCAGGAGGGAAAGATAAAAGGAGGCCAAGCATCCATGACATAACTACTGTCAACCTCACAAGCGATGCTCAGTCAGAAACTAACAGGCCTCCTTCAGACCAGTTTCTGCCGGAGCAGAAGTCCACTGAATCGCTGAACGAGCTACTTGACTGGAATGCGGCTGATGATGAAGGAGCTGCCATGGGTTTCGAGTCTACCCATGGCAATCTCTTTGATCCATCTCCGTATGACGTAGATGCAGATGGAATCAAGATGCAGCTGCAGAAACTATATAGTCGCGCTCATTATGCTGCTCATGCCACTCCTCAAAATTCGCTGTATCTAATGCGGTCCGCAAGACATCAGATTCATGGATAAAAGCAGGCCTGTTTGTTGTCTTCATGGATTGAAAATCCAAGTAAATGATTTTCTTCAGAATTTCTGTGTTCGTCTTTTTATCGTGTTCGTGTTGGATTGATTAGTTAATAAGGTTTTCAATTTCGTACGTAGTTCTTGAACATTGCAGGATGGTAAAACTCCAGTAGGCCACAAAGTGTAATGTCTGAAATGTGAATGGGATTGAATGGTAAATTGCTCTTTCCCTTCAGGAATTTACATACCGGCCCCGGATGTTTTTGAACATTTGAGTTGTAAAATAGACATGTATACATCCCGTAACTGTCCAGCAAGATTTATGCCGTACCGTAGAAATCCCGTATATAATATATGCATATGTATGCATGTATGTATGATATATTATAGGCATATTTCAGGCATGCGCATGATCTTACCTTTTATATATTTTCTTTGCTTTATAATCCTTCTTTGGTCTTCATGTGGATACAGATTGAATATTTGCATGATTTGAGAGACAGAATCCGGAACTTTTCATCTCCAAATCAATCGTATAGACAAAGAATAAAGTTACAAATATCTACTCGTAAGAATTTACCTTTTTTATTTTTCCTATTGTTTCATAATGCGCGGTGGCATTACACTTGAAAACTTCAATAAAACTGTGTAATTAAGGTATATATCAAATTAAGTGCTATCAGCGAAGATTCGGCTTTCAAAAAACTTGAAGAATCTCATATTCTCGTGACAAATGCCTTACAAAATGACATGGTAGGACAACTTGACCGAATTTCCTCCTGGATTTGCACTTGGGATGGCTGAGGTTGATCTCAGATAAATCTTTGGCTGCATCACACGTGGAATGATCTTGCAACCACTAGGGAAAAGCAGACATGTCATTGGCCGATGTGGCTGCTGACTCACTCTGCACTCTTTTGAAAATTCCACAGTATCTAACGTATTGCTTTACCTTTTCTTCCCATAAAAAAATTTACTTTCCGCCAATTGTTTTGCTTTATACAAAAACGACTTACCCTCCACCGGACCACCACTAAGATGCTGAGTTTGCATTCCACTCGATAAGCATCCATCTGCGTCAATCCATCGTAGGATGCAGGATCTTCCACGTAAGAAATGCCAATATGCAATTTTGACATTCGGCAACTTGGCCCCTTGCTTTGATATGTTTTTGCTGTTGGAGCCAATGCCATTGTTGATGGTGGCTACACTTTTTGCGTCATCATTGCGCCATTTGTTTAGGTCTAGCCAAGCATTATGCTTTGCTCTTTGTCGAGTGTAATGATTCGTTTAATAATTATTTCGTTTGATTTCAAAACTCTTAACATTTTACTTCGTTGTGTTATAATAATTTGTTAGTTTGTAAGTGGTTGGCCATGTTGTACTTGTGTATCAATGTGGATTCACTGCTAAATTTGATTCAATTCTAACATCAATATAAGGTGGGAGAAGCTCACTCAAGCGCGTGTCGAGTTTTATTTCATATGATTTTGGTACTATTCATAACGAACTGTAATATGCAATCCTCTATTATTTTTTACTAAAGCTCTACTATATTCATGTGTTAAGCATGCGCGGGATGAACAAAGTGTTTAATGTGCAACCAATGATCCAACGGGTAATAGTCCAATGACTACTGTCAAAGTCCCACATCAGTGGGGTGAAAAGAAATCAAGGGGTTTAAATAGTTTTACCCCACTCTAATTAATACCGATGTCTTTTGTGGTAAAATCTCACACTTGACGGATTGGGTATGTGGTAATGTTGGGAACAATATCGGTGTCGTTAGAGTGGGATAGGCTCGGTGATCCAAAAATTCCAACATGGTATCAGAGCCCACGGTTGCGGGCTCGTGCAAGCCAACGAGCTTGTGTGCAAGCCAATGAGCTTGTCACCAACGAGAAGGAAATAAGTTTGAGCTCTTAATATAGAGATGACCGCTGAGTTCCAATTGAAAACAAATGGGCCCAATGTGAGCTGACCTCTGAGTTTCAATTACCGATGTGGATCTCCACATGTGAACCACTAAATGAGGTTACACATGAGGGGGAGTGTTAAAGTCCCACATTGGTGGGGTGAAAAGAAACCAAGGGGTTTAAATAGTATTACCCTACTCTAACTAATACTGAGGCTTTTTGTGGTAAAATCTCACACCTGATAGATTGGGCAAGTGGTAAAGTTGGGAACATTATCAATGTCATTAGAGTCGCGCGGACCTGGCGATCCAAAAATTCCAACAACTACGAATATCATTGTACAATATACACTACTGAAAAATCTCCTAGTTTCAAAAGTAGAATTAAGTTCTTTTGTAACTATTACTTATATCTAGCCAAACAATAAGTAAGCCTCTACTATTTTGGCTACTTAGATGAATCTAATGAATATGGATTTGAGTCCACTAGAAATGTTCTTTTGATCATCTTCATTAGAATTTGAGTCCACTAGAAATGTTCTTTTGATCATCGAGTGATTAAAAAATTCATGATCATTCAATCTTAGTGTCACATTTCGGTCCGGGCCCCCACCACATTCCGAGCTCGACTCCATCGTAGCACGATATTGTCCGCTTTGGGCCCCGACCACACCCTCACGGTTTTGTTTCTGGGAACTCACACGAGAACTTCCTAGTGGGTCATCCATCCTAGGATTGCTCTTGCTGCGATCTCACTTAACTTCGGAGTTCCTACGGAACCCGAAGCCAGTGAGCTCCCAAAAGGCTTCGTGTTAGATAGAGATGAGAATATACATATAAGGTTTAGAGAATCCACTCCCTTAGACGATGTGGGATGTTACAATCCATCCCCCTTAAGGGCCCGACGTCATCGTCGGCACACTTTCGGCTAAGGATTGGCTTTGATACCAAATTGTCACATCCTGACCCTGGCCCCCACCACATCCCGGGCTCGACTCCACCGTAGCACGATATTGTCCTCTTTGGGCCCCGACCACACCCTCATGGTTTTGTTTTTGGGAACTCACAGGAGAACTTCTCAGTGAGTCACCTATTATGTGATTGATCTCGAGCGAACTCGCTTAACTTCGAAGTTTCAATGGAACCCGAAGCCAGTGAGTTCCCAAAATGCCGTGCTAGGTAGAGATGAAAATATACATATAAGGCTTAGATGATCCACTCCCCTGGACGATGTGGGATGCTACACTTAGACTTGATAACAAGGGTGAAGAATAAACAAACATGTTTTTAATGTCTAATTTCTAACAATTAATATCAAATTAAAATATGATTGATCATGAATCTTTAGTCACCAGTGTCAAAGAGAACGAGACTCTTAATTTCTAAAATGACATCATGGTTTTTTTATTCTAACCGTTAATTATGAGCTCATTTGGAAGTTTTTTTTAAAATGATTGAAAACACTTTCGGTAAAATCGATTTTGGGTTCCAAAAGCACATTAAGTGGTTTTTGGAAGAAGCACCAGATATATACTTCTTGCAGGAAGCACTTAAAGTGTTTTTTTAGGATCCCACTTGAATTTTTACAAGGGATTGGTTTCAAAAACATTTTCACTAATGGTGCTTTCAATCATTTTAAAAACACTTCCAAATGAGCTTTATGTTGTGTAATATGGTATGACTATGTTTGTTTTATTAGAGTTGTTTTTCTCGACCGACTAAATGTATGGACTAAGATCGTGTGAAACCAACTTAGTGCGCGTTATTGTCACTTTTGCACATACCAATTTTGTAGACACCACACACTCAGCGTTAAAAAGTTCCAAAGCAACATGAGCAATTTGATTATCCTTTTTAACCTTTAATTTTCTAGGTATAGTCCATCTTTCAGCAACTAGCATGAGAAAGCATCTGGGCCCTTTATTCCAATTTTGATCAAACCTTTGAGAAAGTTGAACCGTACACCTTTGGCTTTTTTTTTTTTTTTTTCAATTAATTTCTGGTGTAGTAGCTACACTAGGTTCCAATTTTGATGATGTCTTCATCGACCTCGCATGGGATTTAGATTAATCTGTCAGGAAAGATTGTCAATCATACATATCAATTTAGGTAGGACTTAGATGAATCGGATACATCGTTACAATAATATCTCAATCCAATCTATTTCATATGGCATAGTGTCAGTGGATAGAGAAGAAATTGTGGCAGTGCACCTGATCATTTAAGTTGCTCACCAAATCAGCAGACAAATTCATGTAAGATTTTACTCACCATATGAGACTCGTCCTTGTCAGACAGTGTTGCCGAATATCTTTTCTTAAATTAGAGGACATAATAGGTGACCATGTTATACATGCATACATGAATGTATGGTATACAATTAAATACAATAACTTATTAATTTATCAATGTATTAATAAATTATTAATTTATCAAGATATTCTTTAGTTTCTTAAATATTGTATATTATAGTTGGTTTTTCGTTTTACGAACTAATTAAAATGCTATGTATTGTTTAACTAAATCTCACAAATTATAAACCCTAAACCAAACACGAGAAGAGAACTCCAAACAAATGGAGAAGGTTCTTACAAATTACTCTCTAACTCTCAAATTCACAAATTAAAGCTCACCAAATTGTCATACGGATGTGCCACACAAAATAAACTAACCCTAAGGTCCTATTTTATAAAGTATAGGATTTAGGTTTACACAAGAATCCTAAAAGGAAATAAAATCGAAAACCTAGTGGGCAAGAAAATCAAATCCTTATCTTATAAGGATAAAGAATCCAACAAAAAAATGAAAATCCCAACCCAAATGGGACACAACTGGCCTAAATAGGGTTCTAAAACGAAATATGTAACAAACCAGATTTTTGCATCACTCTAATTTGAGCTGCAAATCACAACAATCATTGCAAAATTTAACAGTTGAATGTGTGCTAAAAAAGTTTATAGAATTTAACGGTGAATCTTAGCCACTTAAAAGACATAAATCACGGTCCCTCTTCATTGCCAAAATCAAATTTGAACCACATTATTACTAGTCTATTGTGAGGCTTAACCTACTCCTCCGCCCCTTTAGTGTAAATAATATCGTTTGTTTAAAATAAATAAATAAAAAATAAAAAAAATAGAAAAAACATAAACCACGCATTGATGTATAGTAGAACTCCAGAGTCTAATACCTTGACAATAACTAGTACTTAAGGGGCCAAAACTTTGTCCCTTCACAACCGACCATTCATGGACGTAACTAATTGTAAAGAATCATTTTTCTCGACATAGATGATCACGTGATAAAGAAGATAAA